GAAAAAACAAAAGCTGCCACTTTATTTAAAGCTCAATTTAAACCCAGAATAGCTCGGGTGCTTGGGCTTAGCAGCGCTGAAAAATATTATTTATTTCGTAGTGACGCGCCCGAGGGGACCTCCTTCCCAAGCAGATTGCCCATTCAAGCCTGATCCCACTGCCGGAGTTGATTATGTTTTATTATAAGTGATATTGTGGAAACCCCAAATATACGGTAGTCAGTTAGTCAATATTCTGGATGCTTTCGCCTTTCAGGAGAGTTATTCAAAAGGTGCTCATCCCATGATGTACAAACCTCTATGCGTAACTAAATTAGATAAAAAAGCTATCAAAATGACAGATCAGTTTGGTCGCAATCTGTCTTTTGAAAGGGTCATCCAATACCGTAGGTTACATGTAAGAGATAAATAAATAGAACCCAAATCTGCGTAAAAATGGTTATTGTTTCCTAACCGCCAAACCTTGCGTTTTACCCTTTCAAGTGCCCTCTGAGCAGGAAAATTTCGGAGTTTATTTTTCCCAAACCCTCCCATGTGGGAGCTGGTCTGGGAGATATACAAACTTTTCACGCGCCATACAGAGTCCGAGGTGGGGATTTTTTTTCGGCTTTAGCGGGTTCTAGCTAAAGAGCTTTACCTTTTCTTTTTAGAGTGGCTGCGCCAAGTGCAGTAGAATTTGGAACTAAAATGCTCGATGATTATCAGTCTGGAAAAACAGAATGAAAGCTGCTCTTAAATCTCACGGGATAGATGGGTTTAAAAGGAGTTGCAAAGCAGTTATTAACAGGCGGGAGAGTAAGCAGGGTGACTAAGAGACGGCTGAATAATAAATGCAAGTTAAATAAACGCCGACGAAGCCAAGTTGCTTATAAAACGGATGTATTCTCTCTCGTATAAACATTGCTTATTAGCCATGGCGGGTTTTCCGGGGCTGAAACAGCGGACTCAAAGTCCGTTAAATGATTATTCTTCAAGCGTCATTAATCAATTCCCGGACCGCATAGACTGAGACAAGTTGAGAGTTCCATAGCTCGCACTCAGAGTTTTGATACTCTACCAGTAAAACTTCCTCTCTCTCAAAAACTAAAAAAATAATTTTCTAGAATTTAGAATTCCTGGAGTTCCCGGGGCATTTCTAGATTTAGGGGAAAATAGTTATAGAATTTAGAGTGACTCTAACAGAGGCTGTGGGCAAAGTCCACTAGGGGAAACAAGCAACATCGCCCTATAAATGGATTTTCCAACACGTTATTTAAAAGTGTCCAGTGTTTCCTGGGCGAGCAAAAAAACGGAAACAAATTCAGTTTTAATTACTGGTCATTCATTAAACTCTGCAGCTCAGTTAAACGAAGCCAGTTGCGAGTATCGCCCGACTGGGGTATTTTCTTGCCCGACTTTAAAGGAGGAGAAGGTATAACTAAATTGTTCGATACAGCCTATTTCGCCCGCACATCGCAAAAGAAAACCCCAGATACTGGGCAAAGAATGATAAAGAACAGGGCCCTAACTCTGTGTTTCCCTTGGCTCTGGAATATCCACTCTGGACCAATATCTGCTTGACAAAATTTGATTTAAAAATTAGGCTGGAATTATCCCCTCAGCGTGGAAATCTGAAACAGACGATGATGCCAGCACATACCCGCTCCATATTAATTACGCTAAATATGGCTTAATAGGGTATACCCATATACATCAGCTTATATGGCCTTGAACAAGTCTCTAGCCTTAGACGCAAAGCCGATAATATATACTTTTAATCGCACTCTAAATAAAAATTATGTGCTAGGTCACAATCAAACGAGGCCTCCTAATAGATCAGCCATGGGGTCATGTAATTCCCGCCAAAATTTTCATGGGGAATTTTGGGCCCATGACAGCCCATGCCCGGAAAACATAAGGAGAATGGTCTATATTTTGAGCATGGGGATCTAGCCAGTTTATTTTGATGTATTAATAATTTAAAACAGTTTATCGCCCTTTAAGCAGTGATTTCCCCCATCATTATAGTAAAATTTTTTATGAAGCAATTAACTCTCTGGGCATTGAGGAAGAAAATTTAATTCTCTATGAATCATTCGCCTCCGGGCCCAACCATCAATTTTTTTCAAATTTAACCGACAGCCAAGTGGAAGACGCTCTCCCGATTGAAAAATTGGTAACTTGAGAATTGAATTACAGTTCTCTAAGCGCCCCTCATAATAAGGTAGTTTATTATTTGCTCAGACCACGGTGTTTTATCCATCGACCAGAATAGTCTGTTCATTGTGATGTGCGAGCATAAATAAAAAATGAATTGCGCAGAAATAAATAGTTTAATTCCGCCCTAGGAAATAAAGTCACATATATTGGCTGTTTCACTATAGACGCTCTACAGCAAATAAGATTAGATGACTATCCCTCAGACAGGCCATAGTGTTGTAAGTAATATTCTTCCTTCGTACAGTTCAAAAATAATGGGTCATTTTTTCTTTTTCTCTTGGGAAGAAAAATAGTCTATCCTTCTTCTTTGACAGTTACGGGAAAAAACCAGAGAATTATGGCATAAATTTAAAAAAATTTTTTAAACTAAATAAAATTTAAATATTTATATCGTTTATCCGGCAGAACACAAAGTGATTTTTTTACTCACTTGCGGTCTATATGTTATGATGTTTATTCATAAAGCAAGCCTTGTGGGATTAGAAAGAGCTTTATATTTTTTTAAAAAAAATTTCTCGGAAAAAATCGCTTTTTTCAATGACAGATTAGTGATAGCATATGCTAGAGAGAATTTTAAAATGTTTACCTCCTTGTGAAAAAACATTTTCCTAAGTAGTCAAGGTTATATTTGTGTTCCCTCTGTGAGGAAGGTCACCTCTGACGAGAGTATCCCCCCAAATACCCTCCTGGCTGGTAAGGCCCCCTCTGAGCTGTATATAAGAGCCCGCTGAAGCTGTTTCCCCGCAAAAGATGAGGCTGACCTCTCCATAGCCCTTTTTCTCTCATCATGGTGAAGGAAGCAGACATTCTCGATTCTGGGTAAGCGAGAATTTATTTTGCTTTAAAAAATTCTCTTTGAATATTAACGAAACAAACGGGGCGGCAAGAGATTATAATAATTTTTAAAGTTGAGTCTCTTTTTTCAACAGTTTTCACTGGACCAGTCAGAATTTGTAAAGTTTTGATTTTATCGGCTGGTAGATTGGAAGGGAAGGAACACGCCGGCATCAAAAATCCCAAAGCGGTGTCATTGTGATGATAGCAGGAAACGCAAAACATAGACTTCCTCAGGAAAGGGTATGTCTTTCTATGTTCCCTCCTTTTGGGAGATTAGAGACGAGTCCCACTCCTTATTTGAAAGTGATAAAAATGTTCTCTTTATGACTTACAGCCTGTGGAAGATGGGATCAGTTATCATGATATAGAGGAGCCTTATGAAGAAAGAACCAGATCTCGACAACGATGAAACGCAGAGCCTTCCCTCATGTCAGTCTGATGACCCGTGTGGACCTCTCTACGCTCGATACTGCTCAATCTGGGTGACTCTGTTGAGGTCACTGCCGCACAGGTGCTGAACAAAACTGGCGACCTTGAAGCGCACCCTGACAGTCAGTCGGAGAAGGAAGGGAAAACCCCGACGTGAGAGTAAAGCCAGCAGATGGAGTAAAAACAGCAGATGGAGTAAAGACAGCAGATGGGGTAAAGGCAGATGATGATGTAAACCCGAAAAGGAAATCATTTTTGAGGGGAGGTTATCAATCTTACAGAAAGTGAACAGGGGAGCGCAGTCATTCAGTCTAACCAGTAAAACTCGCACAGTTTCGCCCTTTGTCGCCCCTTTAAAAAAAAACTTTGCACAGCTTTTTTGCCCCTTTTTTATGTGAATTAATAAAAATATTGTCAAACTCTGATTTTTTTTTACTTATAATATTTATTACTATCTTCTCTAGTCTAAACTATATATATATATATATAAACAATATCGCACCACTTAAGCCTCTCCCCATCTGAGAGTGGGTAAGAGGAAAATGTATATGTCAAGTTCCTATAAGAGCTCTATCAGCACAAAGGTCTTCCCCAGATGGGCCTTTCTCACTGCTTTAAGCCTTCCCCCACCTGGAAAAAAATCTAGCAAAATGCAAGAATAAACAGCCCTGTCAGCCCTAAGGTTCATACAGACCCCCATTATCACATTATTTTCCATGGTCATTATCCCCGGAATCCCGGGTTTCCCCCGGGGACCCGCTACCATCCATTACCGGTTCTTTAAACCCAGCAGTGTTGTGAAGTAGCAACAGTCGCGAGTAGTATAAGTTGGTCGATCTAGAAACACTGCCAGATAATGACCATGGAAAATGAGATAATGAGGGGGTCTGCATGACCTTAGGGCTGACAGGGTATGTGTTTAATATGTTTAATCATCCCCCAAGGAGATAGAGAGACTTATTTCTGTGTAATTACTAAGTATAAGAAGGTAGGTAATGATCACTTCTGACTCCCCAAACTCAATCACTCTGATAGATGGGAGAGGCAGTACAAAGGATTCAGGTGACTGGGTACAAGCTTGCCATCTCCGAGGGAGTCCCCCCCCCCTTCCCGGCCTGCAACTCACTGACGCGACTGTTGCTACTTCACAACACTGCTGGGTTTAAAGAACGCGGTAATGGATGGGTAGCTGGTCCCCGAGGGAACCGGATTCCGGGATAATGACCATGGAAAATAATGTGATAATGGGGGGTCTGTATGACCTTAGGGCTGACAGGGCTGTTTATTCTTGCAGCTGCTAGATCTTTTCAGGTGGGGGGAGGCTTAAAGCAGTGAGAAAGGTCATCTAGGGAAGACCTTTGTGCTGATAGAGCTCTTATAGGAACTTTGACATATACATTTTCCTCTTACCCACTCTCAGATGGGGAGAGGCTTAAGTGGTGCGATATTGTTTATATATATTATATATATATATATATATATGTTTAGACTAGAGAAGATAGTAATATATAGTTATATGTAAATAAAAATCAGAGTTTGACAATATTTTTATTAATTCACATACAAAAGGGCAAAAAGCTGTGCAAAGTTTTTTTTAGCGCGAGCAAAGGGGCGAAACTGTGCGAGTTTTACTGGTTAGACTGAATGACTGCGCTCCTCCTGTTCACTTTCTGTAAGATTGATAACCTCCCGCTCGAAAATGATTTCCTTTTCAGGTACATCATCATCTGCCTTTACCCCATCTGCTGTCTTTACTCCATCTGCTGTCTTTACTCCATCTGCTGGCTTTACTCTCACGTCGGGGGTTTTCCCTTCCTTCTCCGACTGACTGTCAGGGTGCGCTTCAAGGTCGCCAGTTTGTTCAGCACCTGCTGTGGCAGTGACCTCAACAGAGTCATCAGATTGAGCAGTATCGAGCGTAGAGAGGTCCACAACGAGGTCATCAGACTGACATGAGGGAAGGCTCTGCGTTTCATCGTTGTCGAGATCTGGTTCTTTCTTCATAGGCTCCTCTATATCAGATGAACTGATCCCATCTTCCACAGGCTGTAAGTCATAAAGAGAACATATTTATCACTTTCAAATAAAGGAGTGGGACTCGTCTCTAATCTACCAAAGGAGGGAACATAGAAAGACATACCCTTTCCTGAGGAAGTCTATGTTTGCGTTTCCTGCTATCATCACAATGACACCGCTTTAGGAGTTTGATGCCGGCGTGTTCCTTCCCTTCCAATCTACCAGCCGATAAAATCAAAACTTTACAAATTCTGACTGGCCCAGTGAAAACTGTTGAAGAAAAAAAGGAGACTCACCTTTAAAATTATTATAAGTCTCTTGCGCTCGTTTGTTTCGTTAATATTCAAAGAGAAGTATCCAATCTACCAGCCGATAAAATCAAAAACTTTACAAATTCTGACTGGTCCAGTGAAAACTGTTGAAAAAAGAGACTCAACTTTAAAAATTATTATAAGTCTCTTGCGCTCGTTTGTTTCGTTAATATTCAAAGAGAAGTTTTAGCAAAATAAATGTCTCGCTTACCAGAATCGAGAATGTCTGCTTCCTTCACCATGATGAGAGTAAAAGGCTATGGAGAGGTCAGCCTCTATCTTTTGCGGGGAAGACAGCTTCAGCGGGCTCTTATATACAGCTCAGAGAGGGCCTTACCAGCCAGGAGGGGTATTTGGGGGGATATTCTCGTCAGAGGTGACCTTCCTCACAGAGGGAAGCACAAATATAACCTTGACTACTTAGGCAAAATGTATTTTCACAAGGAGGTAACATTTTAAAATTCTCTCTAGCATATGCTATCACTAATCTGTCATTGATAAAAAGCGATTTTTCCGAGAAATTTTTTTTTTAAAAATATAAAGCTCTTTCTAATCCCACAAGGCTTGCTTTATGAATAAACATCATAACATATAGACCGCAAGTGAGTGAAAAATCACTTTGTGTTCTGCCGGATAAACGATATAAATATTTAATTTTATTTAGTTTAAAAAATTTTTTAAATTTATGCCATAATTCTCTGGTTTTTTCCCGTAACTGTCAAAGAAGAAGGATAGACTATTTTTCTTGTCCAAGAGAAGAGAAAAAAAATGACCCATTACTTTTGAACTGTACGAAGGAAGAATATTACTTACAAGCACTATGGGCCTGTCTGAGGGATAGTCATCTAATCTTATTTGCTGTAGAGCGTCTATAGTGAAACAGCCAATATATGTGACTTTATTTCCTAGGGCGGGAATTAAACTATTATTTATTTCTGCGCAATTCATTTTTTATTTATGCTCGCACATCACAATGAACAGATCTATTCTGGTTGATGGATAAAACACCAGTGGTCTGAGCAAATAATAAAACTACCTTATTATGAGGGGCGGGCTTAGAGAACTGTAATTCAATTCTCAAGTTACCAGATTTTTCAATCGGGAGAGCGTCTTCCACTTGGCTGTCGGTTAAATTGAAAATATTGATGGTTCGCCCGGAGGCGAATGATTCATAGAGAATTAAATTTTCTTCCTCAATGCCCAGAGAGTTAATTGCCTCATAATATAATTTACTATAATGATGGGGGAAATCACTGCTTATGCGATAAACTGTATTATTATTAATACATACAGATAAACTGGCTAGATCCCCATGCTCAAAATATAGACCATTCTCCTTATGTTTTCCTGCATAGGCTGTCATGGGCAAAATTACCATGAAAATTTTGGCAGGAATTACATGACCCCATGGCTGATCTATTAGGAGGCTCGTTTGATTGTGACCTAGCACATAATTTTTACTTAGAGTGCGATTAAAAGTATATATTATCGGCTTTGCGTCTAAGGCTAGAGACTTGTTCAAGGCCATATAAGCTGATGTATATGGGTATACCCTATTAAGCCATAGTTTAGCGTAATTAATATGGAGCTGGTATGTGCTGGCATCATCGTCTGTTTTCAGAGTCCACGCTTGAGGGGATAATTCCAGCCTAATTTTTAAATCGATATTGTCAAGCAGATATTGGTCCAGAGTGGATATGTCCAGAGCCAAGGGAAAACACAGAGTTATGCCCTGTTCTTTATCATTCTTTGTCAGTATCTGTGGTTCTTTTGCCGATGTGCGGGCGAAATAGGCTGTATCGAACAATTTAGTTATACCTTCTCCTCCTTTAAAGTCGGGCAAGAGATACCCCAGTCGGGCGATACTCGGCAACTGGCTTCGTTTTACTGAGCTGCAGAGTTTAATGAATGACCAGTAATTAAAACTAGAATTTGTTTCCGTTATTTGCTCACCCAGGAAACACTGGACACTTTTAAATAATGTGTTGGAAAATCCATTTATGAGGGCGATGTTGCTTGTTTCCCCTAGTGGACTTTGCCCATCAGCCTCTGTTAGAGTCACTCTAAATTCTATAACTATTTTGCCTAAATCTAGAAATGCCCCGGGAACTCCAGGAATTCTAAATTCTAGAAAATTATCTTTTAGTTTTTGAGAGAGAGGAAGGTTTACTGGTAGAGTATCAAAACTCTGAGTGCGAGCTATGGAACTCTCAACTTGTCTCAGTCTATGCGGTCGCGGGAATTGATTAATGACGCTTGAAGAATAATCATTTAACGGGACTTTGAGTCCGCTGTTTTCAGCCCCGACACCCGCCATGGCTAATAAGCAACTGTTTATACGAGAGAGAATACATCCGTTTTATAAGCAACTTGGCTTCGTCGGCGTTTATTTAACTTGCATTTATTATTCAGCCGTCTCTTAGTCACCCTGCTTACTCTGCCGCCTGTAATAACTGTCTTTGCAACTCCTTTTAAAGCATCTATCCCGTGAGATTTAAGAGCAGCTTTCATGTCTGTTTTTCCAGACTGATAATCATCGAGCATTTTAGTTCCAAATTCTACTGCACTTGGCGCAGCCACTCTGAAAAGAAAAGGTAAAGCTCTTTTAGCTAGACCCGCTAAAGCCGAAAAAAATCCCCCACCTCGGACTCTGTATGGCGCGTGAAAAGTTTGTATATCTCCCAGACCAGCTCCCACATGGGAGGGTTTTAGGGAGAATAAACTCCGAAATTCCTGCTCAGAGGGCACTTGAAAGGGTACACGCATGTTTGGCGGTTAGAGAAACAATAACCATTTTTACGCAGAGTTGGTTCTATTTATTTATCGGTCTTACATGTAACACTACGGTAGTGGAATGACCGCTTTCAAAGACAGATTACGACCAAACTGATCTGTCATTTTGATAGCTATTTTATCTAATTTAGTTACGCATAGAGGTTTGTACATCATAGGATGAGCACCTTTTGAATAACTCTCCTGAAAGGCGAAAGCATCCAGAATATTGACTAACTGACTACCGTATATTTGCGGTTCCACAATATCACTATATATTAAAACATAATCAACTCCGGCAGTGGGATCAGGCTTGAATGGGGCAATCTGCTTGGGGAAGGAGGTCCCCTCGGGCGCGTCACTACGAAATAAATAATATTTTTCAGCGCTGCTAAGCCCAAGCACCCGAGCTATTCTCGGTTTAAATTGAGCTTTAAATAAAGTGGCAGCATTGTTTTTTCCCCGTAAAGGTTCGCGATCTCGTCGAAACTAAAAACCCTCCCAATTCCGACATCATAATTGAGTATTTTCCCTTTCGGGAAATGTGCCGAATAATTATCTCTAAAGGCTTTTTTTAAATCTGCTGTTAGCTGTCGATTAATTTCTTCAATAATATGGCTGGCATCTGTCGATAACACATCATTTTTTGGTAGAAAGTGGTGGACTATTGCTTCTGTACTTATTCCTGTTTCAGTAATGTGATTTTGTATAATGTCAATACCGCATTCGGCATCGTCTCTTGTTAGAACATTTGAATTTTTGGGATACAAAACATTAAGCAAGGCTATTTCGTAGTTCAAAGATGGATTTAAAGGCGTTGCAGTAATTATATTTTGAAGCCGAAGCTGTATTGTCGAAAATGTCAATATTTTCTAAACTGCTCAAATAGATATATTTCCCCGGACCCCCTCTGTCCATGTTTGAGGGACAGAGACAGTATGAGGCAAATACAAAATATAGACCATTATATATATTTTTTAAAGGCTTAAAAAAAAATTTAGTTTGAAGACTTTACATTTTTATTT